TTTACCCATTATTCACTATTCGTTATTATTTATTCGATAGGATGTCGTTTTGGGAACATATGACATCACATTGTATGTCGAATAGGGGGTTACAATATTGGACACGGATTTTAGAAAATGACTGTACATAGGACGTTGTTTTGAGGAACGGACGTCGATCTGAGTTTAACACATATATATGATGTTTTCTCACTCAATAATACAAAGCTTGGAGACTATGTTGAACGAGTTGACCCCGTCGAACTTGATTTTGCCATTTGATAAGGGACTTTACGTTGATGAGTATAACTTAGAGTTCGGTATTTTTGTTATTTTTTTGTCAAGAAAAAAAGATTTTAAAACTATTAAAATATGTTTTGCCAAATTCCCTTTCTGAAAAAATCAAATTGAAAAACCCATCATTGGCATCAATCAATTAAATATAGGATGAGTATATAAAGTAGGTTTATTTTAAAAGAGCAAAGGTAATGAACTGTGTACGGTTATTTTAAACGGTTTGTAAAACTATACCGATCTAAATAAAATCATTTGGTTGAATACCTTGCACTAGATTATTTATCAAAACAAAAGGCAAAATGTCACTGGAATTGAAATGAATATTAACTTTACACATACGTGTATTATGAAATATGATAATAACATATAGTAAGGAATTCAACAGAAAGTGGTGATGGAATTTTGCGACGATCTTTACTTGGATATTTTATGTTCAATCCTACTTTGCATTTATAACAAAAGATGCTGTTGCAAAAACAAGGTGCGATCGTTCAAAGAAGAAAAAAAGAACGTTTTTAAGACAAGAGTAACTCTTGGATTTATTTGTAATGGCGCCTCTCTTATTCTTATATGTGTTTTAAACAGAGAAACATTCGTCAAAGAAACGACTGCATTAGGATTATTTGTAACGATAATATTATTCATTTCGTTATCATATATAATGGTCGTAGTAACTATTTACTGTGTTTTAACTGAGATAACTGAGGCCGGAATTTTTCATTTTATGATACTGTACAGAATATATGAAATCGAATTAGACTTACTATTATTTTTCTACGGTTTAGTTATATCCAACTGGGAACTAACATCATTTGCATCCATTACAACTGCCTTGGCGTCTGTTGATATTGCCTTTAATCTATTGATACTAGTATTAAATATAATTAAAAGTGAAAACCGCCAATGCAATTTAATCTGTACTTTTGTTGTGCTACCGATTTTTTTCCCTGTAATAATGCCTATTATTTTTATGTGTAAAATTGTAAATCGGAAAGATGAATAATCTTGTTTTTCGAGACAATCAACTCAGCCATCTCCGAAACAGTATTCAAATCGGCTTTTAAGTCAACCATAGCGCAATGTATATTTCCGCTGTGTCGGACTTTCCGAAAGCAGATATATCCTTTATTCCTGTTGTATGTGTACTTGGTTTTGAAGGATTTAAGACATGTCAATTTGAACGCATTATAGTTTACAGAAATAAAAATATATAAAAGTCAAGAGATAACTATATTTACATTACAATTGGTTTGTAGCGGTGCTTATATACAGGGATATTCTGATTGGCTACTTAAAAGCCAAAACAGTATAATGTTTATTCGCATTAGCTAACGCAACTGGATTGTGACTCGAAAGCTTTATGACATACTATGCTAGACAAAAAGATGTAAATTATAACGTCCCATTATTTGCATTTTACAAGGATTCCAATATCATGTATGCATCAACATACGTTTTGTCAAGAATACTGGGATTGAGCGCCGCAAATAGCTAGTGAAAATAATACAATAATAAGGGTACTTACTACCTGCCGAGAACCATCATTGTTACTCCGAGGCGACCATTACGCAACATACTTGGTAGAAAACAAGCAACAACCGATTATAAGGTTTCTAGATTCACCAACCGTGGACCGAACCAATGACACCAACACTTGAAAACTCTCACAAGTTCACACGGCGGCGGTAGAACCATTGACGTGATTATATATTTTCACGTTCACGTTTATTAAAGAATAACATACATGTAACAAGAATTGACAACTGTGGTTTTTGTTTTAAGTAATACGAAATAAGGCAAATGACTTGTAGCGAAAAGCTCAGAAGTGCGTCTTGCTCAACATGTGATCGTCATTTGCTATCATTTCGTAACAATTAAAAAAAAAACTAGCACTCAATTTATATATTTAAAGATCTTGGAAATAAAAAATATCAATATAGATAAATAACTAGAACGTATAAAAACTTAAGGCACAACAAACCTAGCTAGTTAACTATAAGTGTATTGTTTTTTTACCTAAAATCCTAGGTTAACCAGGATTGTGATAAAAAAGTTAAAAATTTATGTCAATAAATCTTTTCCTTTGTTATGACCGATTTGATAGTTCACAGGCACTTTAATCGTAATGACGCTGTGTTAATTCCCAAATGTAACCTGTAGTATATCCATGACGGGAGAAGGCTTGGTGTCATATATAAAAAAATATTGTCATTTGAAATATGAATGTTATGTGACTTTTTATTCTACTTTGTGTTATTATTTCATATTTCTATGGTACCAATCCTATGTTTGGATTAAACAAAACAAAAGTATTATTTTCACCCTTTTTCGAATCAAGAACCTAATAAAATTTATGACATTAACAATTGGCAACATTTTAAGAATGCTCTTTGTTTTAAAAGAAATGAAAATTTAAAAGATACTATTCGGAGAATTAGCGGTTCAATGGTTGCGTAATATGAAAAGACAAGGAAGATTTATAAATTAAAATCACATATGGCATACACTATGAAGTTCATTTTACGACAATGAAACGACAACCCCAGTAAACTCATATATATTCAATAACAATTGTATCGAATTACGGCACATAACAAATGAATGAACACAAAAAGCATTTATAGTCCACAACAACAATAACAAACGAAATACGATAATACTTTATCAATTATTTATTATTTATTTTTTTACAATATAACAAAAGGAAAGTCTTTTAAAGCTTATGTCGTTAAAAGTGCTTATGCAATTTCTGTTATGATTGTTATTTAATTGGCGTATAACGTTACTGAAACAGATATCCAACAAACGACTGTTCATAAATTTGCCCTATGATCTTATGCAGAGTTGTTCCGTTGGAAAACATATAAGTATTTTCTATTTTGTATAATAATAATTAAATCATAAAATGCATTGATTGGTCAATATTTAAGGAATGACTGTGCTTTTCTTTTCTCTCTATGACGAAATAACGTCAAAAATCTGTTGCACACTGAATAAAACGCGTAGCGGTTTATTTAAAAATGTGCACTACATTGTTTAGGTTATTTCGAACAGACAGATAAATATTACAGTCATTCCTTATAGTTTAAAGGAGTAAATCATGAAAAAACGTTGTCGACGTCACGGCCACATGACAAAATTATTTATATGAGCTGATAGACAAAAACTTTCAGCCAATCAGAAGATGTTTTACATCAATAATTAAATTATTTGGTTTTCAACATTAAAAAAGCATAACATGTTTGAGCGTTTGATTTTGCCATTTGCTTAGGGACTTTCCGTGTAGAATTTTCCTCGGAGTTCGGTATTTTTACTTTTTATATCATAGAGTATGCCACAAGTCTCCCCAGAGTCTAAACACATATCAGATACATGTTTTAGACTAAGAAAAGGTATATAAAGTACAAAACATCATAAGATACAACTTAAATTATCTTCTAGTTGGAGACGAGCATTAACTTGTACGCTTGATACCTTGCTTAACATATTGTACCACAGACGCGGTTCGTCTATATAAAACTCAACAGTGGTACTCGAATCAAAACAGCTGAAAGGCCAAATCAAATACAAAGTTAAGGAGCATTAACAATCAAAAACTTTGGAAAGTTGTGCAAAAAACGTCTCAGGCAATCTATGCTAGAGGTAAACGAACCTTAGTTATGTACACTATTCAACATTTCGCGAGCAGTACATTGACTGAAAATGTTAATATCAATGAAATTGCATGTCTGAACAAAAATCTTGACTACCGGGCTGTTGATACCTTCTGGGACTTAACTTCCACCAGAATTGTATCGATTGAAGAGCTGTAAAAACTTATCAAAGATTCCAGGTTTATTCTAAAAATTAATATATTGTTATCAAAGAAAATGAGTGTATATGTCAATAAGAGAGTACCACCAACGACACCAGTACTTAAACCATATCAAGGTCAACATTCGAAAAGGCTTCGGTGGCCAAGTTGTTTTAATAGTTACTCTATTGTATCAGTAGCTTGGAAGAAAGATGTTGTGAAATCGAACTCCGCACGTCGCAGGTGCGATCGACTTAAATCGTAGTTGACTTGGAATGTCAGTTTTCAGCCCAAGGTTCTCTCCGGGCACCCCAGCTTCCTCCATAAATAAAAAAAATTACTGCCATTATGGCTAATAGTCGGAGCAAAATGAAAGCAAAAGACAAGCAGATCTACAATGTAACCCTGTAACAATACGTACGATAGTCCGCAATATCCTACAGGATAACCGGACCCTAAAACCCAATCATCGTAAGGGATAATAGTGCAGAAAGTGGCATTATATCAATAATCAATGAATCAATTACAATAAAATTAAAAAGTAAAAATTTAAAACAAAGATTATCAAATATCATCAACGAGAACTATCTTTCGAAAAATTTAAGTATTTAAATCTGGATAGGCATACATCCATTTATATATGTAAGTTGGAAAAAAGGAAAATACTCCCCCATCTTAATGTTCATGAACTGTAAACAATATGAACTATTTTAATCTCACATTAAGTATGTTCTGATTTTTCTGATCAGATAATAAACTAACCGTGGTATTTTTTAAACGCAGTATATTGAACTTGAAAATCAACACTTTGACAAACAGTTAACGGAAACATGAGAAACAAGCGAATAAGTAAACTAAGACTTTGTGATCCAATCAAGTAATTGTAGTTTATAAAGCATAACGTCTAACAGTTAACAAATGGTTTATTCAACCAAAATAGTGTATGTATTTTGTAAGACAAGTATTTTCATATTTTATAATTTATCTGGATTTTTTAGGGACCTTTTCGTTTTTCATTTTTTAAATCAATTTGAGCGAGAATTTTCTTAATGGACATGGATGGGGTAATGTATATTTTTTATTTAATATGTCAGCTTTGATCATGAAATTTTAATTAAAGAATCAGTGTTGTCATTTCTCTTCACCTTATGAGTTTTGAATGTACCTTTGGTTTCTATCGACTTGTTTGTATTATACGTAAAATAATATTATAAAGATTAACCATTGTTTACAGGAAAAAAGATACTATGAAATTTATGATGTAAACTTATAATTCAAAGAAATGTAAGAACACATATATGGCGATTATACTATCACAATAATAACTTGAAAGTTAAAATGAGGAACCAAACAGTCAAATAAAAAATTCCAATTACTAATATGTCATTTCCTTGAATAGAAAAAAACCCAAACGGTATATCATCAAGTCCAAATAAATACATATTTGGCAAGAACACATATATACATACCAATCTATAGGTGTCTTGGTCATGGCACCCCTTACATTAAACTGAACAGTGGAATGACGGAACAAAAGACCGACGGAACAGTTGAGGTATAAAACCACTAATTCATAGCCCCATTGCTTTCTATGTTAAATTCTGCAATTTCAAGCATTAATGGCTACTTTGTCTTAAGTTCAAATAAAGTAGCAGTTATTTCATGTCAAAACTATACCTTATCCTGACTTGTGCTGAAAAATTCAACATACCTTTAATTGCATATTAGAGCGTACTGGTTCCCGGAAGTTTGATAGTACAAAAACAGGTACTTCTGATCAGAACAACAGGGCAAATGAGCCCTCCTATTAAAATTGTATATACTTCTTTATTATTCAAAAGAAACTTTCAACAAGGGTTCTACAGTGATTCCAAGTCCCCAAGCTTTCATTTGATACCAAAACTACCCAAATATTCCACCTATTGACAAAGATACAGCTATGCGTAGGAACTATTTTGTTTAAAATATGTACTACTTTCTTGTATGTTCTTTCCGACCGGGCCTTAATTAGTGGTTCTATACCTATAACAGCACCTAACTTGTTATATTGACTTCTGCTTGACTTAATTTCCTTCTATGATCTATTTCTAGCACAGAAAAACACATAAAGCTTTAGTCAAAACACAATATCACTGAATTCAAGCTCAAATTGGACTGGTAGTAACATATGCGTTATACAAAGAAAACTCCATAGGAATACTAATAGTGACAGATATGACATTTTTTCAATGTTTACCAGTTCTTATTTGTTAATATCTACTCAAATAACAGTGTCCTTACATATTTGTCTTATTTTTATCAAAGATTCTTCCTTGAATATAAATACAGTGGTCCAAACATAAAAAATAATAGATAATTTTGACCCCCCTTTTTTCTACATGTTGAAAAAGGAGAGTGATTTGGTAAAAACCATACTTTTATGTATAAACATGGATCAAAAAGAGCAATTTATGTATCTCCCAGCTAGACAACTTGCTAAACTGGTTATAAAATGCATTTCAAGTGAGATTTTGGAAATCCTATATAAGTATACATCAATTTCATTTGAAAATAAATGATTCACTAAGAAACTCAATAAAACATGAACACTCACTAGATAATTTGACCAAAAGCAATATTTATACTACTAACTAGTCATAATATACATGTTTCATTGGTTTCAGTCTAAGGTAATGGAAAAATTTAAACTTCAGGTAAAATCTTAACTGTGTGCATGCTAAATGCTCAAAAAAGGCTGAAATACCTTATTGTAGCAATTTGAGGGTTGTAATTTGACACCAACATAATTGTTACATCAAAAAAATAATGTAACATGATTAATGACAACAAATGTGACTAATTTTCATTGTAAAGGGTATGATTTCTAAAAATAGAATTTCACATGCCTTTCAGTAATAGGTATAAAACCACTAATTCATAGCCCCATTGCTTTCTATGTTAAATTCTGCAATTTCAAGCATTAATGGCTACTTTGTCTTAAGTTCAAATAAAGTAGCAGTTATTTCATGTCAAAACTATACCTTATCCTGACTTGTGCTGAAAAATTCAACATACCTTTAATTGCATATTAGAGCGTACTGGTTCCCGGAAGTTTGATAGTACAAAAACAGGTACTTCTGATCAGAACAACAGGGCAAATGAGCCCTCCTATTAAAATTGTATATACTTCTTTATTATTCAAAAGAAACTTTCAACAAGGGTTCTACAGTGATTCCAAGTCCCCAAGCTTTCATTTGATACCAAAACTACCCAAATATTCCACCTATTGACAAAGATACAGCTATGCGTAGGAACTATTTTGTTTAAAATATGTACTACTTTCTTGTATGTTCTTTCCGACCGGGCCTTAATTAGTGGTTCTATACCTTGAACATCAATTATGAAATTGATGTGTCTATGTAATATAATTTGTTAAGTTATTCCGTTAAAATATAGATTTTAATTTAAAAGAAAATAACGGTACTTTTTCATCATAATTTTGTACAAGAAGTGCAGTAAAGTAAAACAGTATAACAAAAAAAAAAACAAAAAACTGAACTCCAAGGTAAATTAAAAAAAAGGGACGTTCATAAAAACTGACAAAGACAAATATCATCAACTGAAGGAACGAATGAAAAACAGCTATCACATTAGTGACTTGGTACAGGCATTTGCCGAAGATATTGGTTGATTAAACTTGGCTTAACCGCCTACTTGTATGACAGTTGTTTATAGTTCCATTATATTGACGAAGTTATATCCGAATACATTCCTGATGGAAATTTAGAATCCATAAACTTTATGAGTATCTGAATCTGCACACGCAATGTATATATAATTCAATTTAAAACAAAAACATATTATATAGTTGGGAAATGTCGTTAACATAATGAGAACAGACAACTTTCTTCCTTACAGGAATAGCAGATTCTCTCATTTTATCGCAGAACTATTTGAAATATTTCATTTGCAATTGTTTTCAAAGTTGCAATTGCAAAGAGTCCACAGTCGTGAGAATTATGCTGTTGAAATGCATATTGCATAGTAATCCATATCTTACCAGAAAGACTATCTCATTGCTCTTTGTTGAAGGACGTACGGTGACCTATAGTTGCATGTTAACTTCTATTTCATTTGGTCTCTGGTGGAGAGTTTTCCATTGGCAAATATACCGCATCTTTTTATTTTTTTATTTATCTATATCATTCTACAAAAAAACGAAGAACTTTTTTCTGTTTTAAACCGTTCAACTGTGTCCATAGTGAAACCAAAATTACTAAAAAAACATAAATTGAAGACAAAATGACAAGGCAACGGCATACAAAACGACCAACAACCGTATACAAAAAAAAAAACAACATAGAAAACTAGAGACTGGTTCCACACAAACCCAATAAAAAAATCGAGGATGATCTCAAATGCTCCTGGAGGGTAGCTGATTCTGCTCCACATATGGCATCCGTCGTGTTCCTTGTGTTACTACTCATTAGGTGATAAGTCCGATACTGTAATGTCACTTTTGAGGAACAGATCTAGAGGATGTGATTGTGGTTACGACAATTAGAATCAATTCGTTGTCATCTGTGAAACCGATGTTCCATATGATGATGTTCGTAAAATATTAAAAGGGATGGCTACAATTTCACCACTTTGAACTCTTTGTATAATAGGTTCCCTGTAAGCAGCAACCATCTATCAAGAACATCATGAAAGGAAATGAAATATCGTATTAACTAGTATATGTATACTCCATATGCAGATGCTGCAGGAATTTTTCCTGCATTTTAAGGGGGAGTTCACAATCAAGAAACTGAAATATTTTCTTTTGTTGAAAGTTTTGTTCTCAACCGAACCGTGTTGTCAATTTCCATTCTAAGTCAAGATTTTAGGACAGCTTATTTGTTGCCATTATACCCTTTATTTCATGTTCGTTGTGTCCAACATAGTCACCAAACTTTGATTTATTTATTATTTAGTGAGAGGACATCATTTATGTAGTGGAATATATATGTCAAATGATGAGTCTCAGAGACCCATCTTGGCCACTTTCGATATTTGTAATAGTAAATCAATTGGTTCCTGAATTGTAATGAGTTTAATTTATTATTTGAACAAAGAGTTTATCATGCCACCTGAAGTACAGACCTGCTGATAATGTGCAAGACTGTAACCCTTCAATCCTTTTGGTTCTGGGAACTGTGAAAGAATAATAATTGAACTGTCATCATTCGAAATAATTTTTTTTTACTCCCATCGGTAAATTTACTAACCCTAAGTTGCCACATCGTTTTTAAATTTCTGGTTTTCAATGCTTGCTTATGTTCTAACATAGCTGACTTTAAACACACGCTTCTATATAATTTTAGAAATTTTGCTTTCACCATGTCCAGTGTCCGAAATATTTAGATCAATCAAAACATGAAATCATATTTTCAAATGATGACTTTGATCGTCATCTACTGAAGAGGTTGTAACACAAAAACGATAAAAATCGTTCCATGAACGTGGAATACATTGCTGCTTGTTAGTCGTATGCAATAATACTATCCTTGAAAATACATCAATATGTTGTACCTCTTCAAAGTGTATAGATGTAATAATACTCTGAAAGACGGTCTTTCTCGGATATTACATTGGGTTATACAGAGCTTGCAAACAAAGTCCACATCTTCCGTTTTAAATCTATCCCAACAATGTTAGATGCGCAAATTGGCAAGGTTTTGTCCTTCAAACAGCTCAATTTTAACTAATGCGTCCATAGCATTATTTCATTTCCGTCAAAAACAAAGTCATGTCTAATTAACCCCTTCGAAAAACCTGATAACTATGAAGAGTTTATATACGTATATAAAGTGTACAACAACATAAAATATACAAGACAAGTAAACAAAAGAATATTCTATTAAACTAACAAAAATAGAAACATTTGGATAAAAAATAATTATTAATGGAAAGTTTAGAACCATTTTTAGAAATCCTTAACGCCCTCAATCTTGGATATTTTTGTCCTTCGCTTGCTCCATCTTGAATTATTTCGAAAGTACTGTTTACATCTTAACCCTATATGTTTTGTAAGTTAATGATTATATTGACAGGCGTTTAATGTAGTGATGAACAAGAAGTCAAAATACAAAAATCAGGACTATGATTCTATTAAAAGATCTTGTATACAGAAAGGAGAAAATTTTACTGACCCTGAATTCTCTCCAAACAGTAAATCAATATTCTTTAGTCGAAGTGACGATGATATTAAATGGATAAGGCCAGGTGAATTATGCAGATATCCAAAGCTCATAGAGGCCTTCAGTGCTTTTGATTTACATGAAGGCGAATTGGGAAACACATGGTTTGTAACAGCTATTGGAACTCTGATATTGTACCGGGACATTGTTGAAAAGGTGTGCCTAACAATCATAAGTAAATGTCTTATTATCTACATTGAACAGGTGCAATTGCTGTTCAGTTAATCATACAAACAAACATTGCAAAAAATACATTTTTGCTTGATAAGAAATTAAAAAAAAAGTTAAATAAAAAATCAAACAGAGATTACAACAACAGAAACTATTACCCCTTATTTTTTAAAAGAAATGCACAACATGGTTACACGGTTGCATCTCTTCTGTTTCTAGTTCTGCCAGTCGACAAAATAATGGAGGCGATTTGGATTGATAACTTCTATAAAATATTTCATATAATGATCAAAATTTAGAAATTAAGAAGTTTTAGAATTATATCTAAAACTACGTACCAGTATATCTATACCGAAACCGTTAAATAAGATTTAAGTGAAGATTGAATAACAATACAAAAATGGTTTTTGCGAAAACTGAAATACCACAATTTATACTTGACGAATTTTCAATAGATAATGTTTTTAATACATCTCTGTTGTGAAAAATATGTTTTACGTGATTCAAACACTTTAAACATTAATTTTATGCGTGCAAAAGATGCTTAATGTTTTTTTGTATGAAAGTAAGGCCAAAAACAGACGTTTACCTGTATTAAAATTAAATGTGCAATTCTTTAATACTTAGACGAAAGTATATGTAGAACATAAGTTTTACATTGATTTCTGAATAGGGGATTGTTGGAAAAAATTGTCAATATGTTGGCTAGGAAAAAGCAAGGAGGATGCATAATTCTGTTCAAAAGATTTATATTGACTTATCAAGGTTATTCCAAATCTCAAGAAACAGGAATGGAAAGGAGCTTTGGACAAATCGGATTACACAGGAGTGTTCCAGTTCCGTTTTTGGAGGTTTGGAGAAACTATTACCATTGTAGTCGATGACCAGCTTCCAACGAAGAATAACAAGTTATTATTCTGTCATTCAAGAACTCGTGAAGTTTTCTGGTGTTCATTGCTTGAGAAAGCTTATGCTAAGTATGTACCAATCATCTTTTTCCCTCAAATTATCACATTCTGACATGCTGACAGCGGTGCTCTTCTTATAATTTCATCGATTCAAATAGATTTTTACTTCAACTGCAAAAAATGGTGCAGAAATTTTATGCAATTTACATATAAACGTTATGTTTTAAACCATCTTAAAGGCAAGTAATGAATTATACACTTAAAAAGGTCATTATGATTCTAAGATCCATACATTTTGGGTGCAATAACAAAACATATGTTTTACAATGTTATAAATAACAAAACATGTTTTACAATGTTATAAATAGTTTGACTGTCCCTCTGGTATCTTTCGTCCCTCTTTTAAGGATTATCTTTTAATATGTAATGGTTAAACGAATTTATTTATTTAACAAAAAAATTTTCTATGAATATTATATATCTCCCCAAAAGAAGCGTGGTTTGTGAAACAGCTGTATTTACAAAGTGCGACCTGTAGTATGAAATAATAGTCACACATGCAGAAAAAGTTGAAGCCCGGCTCCTGGTTAGGGATCTGCAAACAGATTTGTTCTTTCTATGCTATATGATATCATCAGGCATGGTCGCTTTTTTCATGACGTCCCAATAGGAAATGCAGAGGAAAGCAAGTAAATTTGACGTCATAATTGAATTTTGACCAATGAAGAACTGAGATCAAACAAACCACACGTTAAATGAAAAAATTATCAACAGGTCTGGAAAAGGATAAATTGTGTGAGAATAAGAAAAATATTTATTTATACATTGATGCAGGATGGGAAGAAATTGACTGACAAGAAAGTCATTTGGTTTCCGAATTATTTCCTAACTCTACCAAAAATAGATTATCATGAGGGTGGATATTTAGATGCATTTTGAATACTACCTTGAGGTAAACTAAACCGGATTTTTCATACTTCCTTTAGGGTAAACAGCCATATTGATTGATTTTTTTTGGAATACGGAGAAGCGACACAGGTCTTCATATTTTGTATTATAGATATCAAACAGTAATTACGTTTTCGAATCTCATATGTTTAACCGAACTCGTTTCTTTGTTCTCACTACTCCATTGCCTCTGCAAAAAATGAATATTTAATTTTTCCCTAATGTTAGTAATTTCACCGAAGCGATCCGGTAACTCCTTGATATTCATTTTCCTTTGTTTATTTTGAATTTAGGTCCAGGTCAAAATTCAATGGAGTGTTCTATATCTTGCTATCTCTACTCCTCTGAAACCGTTACATATATCGACAGAAGATTTACAAAAATGTCAGTTGCTTGTTTATTTGTCTAAATGGTACTGGTACAATATTTTATGAGTTTCCCCTCTTGAATGTTTAAATTCAAAATTTATTGTTTATGCGTTATGTTTAGAAACTCATGCAATTGAATAACGTCGCTCTGAAGGAACCAGATGAAAAATTAATACTTAAAATAAACCAGTGTTTGTAATCATTTATTGGATATATACGAGTTTTTAACATCGGTTTTCAAACCAATGACACAATTATATCAAATGGCACATTTATGAGAAAATATGTTTTACATTAATGTTTTGTCAGGCTCTTTGGAGATTACGAATCTTTAACAGACGGTGATGCAATAGATGCACTGGTTGACTTTACAGGCGGTTTTGGTGAAAAAATAAATCTACTTCATCCCAATATTGACCTTAAAGACGAAAGTATACGTGGATCAATGTTTGGAAAACTAAAAGAAGCCATGGAAAATAAATCACTTATTATATGCTATATTCTGGTAAAGGAAATAAGAAATCAATTAATATATTCTTTTCTATATAACTTTAATAACATTAATCATTTTGTCTTAAGAATATATTTTTATGTGTGCATCAAAACAGTATAGATTCCAAAAAAAGTAATCTTCACATTTAAATCATAAATCAAGTAAATTGAATACAATTTTCCCTGGAAGAAAAAATAAAAAATCACAGAAAAATAAATGATATTTATTAATTGGTGAAAGTGGAAAATGCTAAAAGTTTTTCCGTTTTTGAAATATAAATTTAGTTTAAGACAAAGCTGTATTTCTTTCAGGTTAAACCGGGTGACAAGCGTGGAAAAGAATTACCCCAAGGCTTCGTTCTCGGGCATGGCTACACCGTCACTGATGTCAAACAACTGAAAATAGAACGAGGAAAAAGAACAAGTAACTTATCAATGATTAAAATGGCAAATCCTTGGGGAACGATGGAATGGAATGGTCCATGGTCCGAAAAGTACGTTTAAAACATGTTCATTCTTAACAAATAGCAGTCAAAGCCAATCATATCATCGTCAATCTAATTGTTTATCTCATAAACCAAACGCTTTTCATTTTTTGAGCTTCATAAATAAAAGGCTTTTGTCATCTGAAATTTAAAAGTGTTAAGTATGTGTGAATAAATGTGATAAATGCGGGTATATGTCTGATAGCCAGTGACTCAACTACGCAAATCAAAACACGCAATAATTCTGTCAACAAATGTTTTACAAGCGACAGATAGATGAACATGTATATCACTGGAATATAAACTGTTTTGTCACTCATATGAATAGCTAACTCAAGTTTATCTACGTGGTTATAACATATTCGTGTTTTGGGAGTATCGTGCTTTTATCATTTAGACATTAAATATAAATTCTCATATTCAGGTTTTTACTTTCTAAGTGAGTGTCTTATTGATCTTAATATCATCTGAAAAATGAATTATTAAGTCATGTTCAGTATAAGTATATGTTTAGGCTTATCCATCCACTGCGCCAAATTCAGTACTGTTCAACCACTAGCTCGCAGCTAATTCAGTACTCTTCAATAGCTTTTCATACAATTTAGTATGTTATTGAGGTAAACAGGTACATAACAAATACTGAACCGATCTTAATTGACTGTCAGCAAAATATGTGAACATTACTGAATTTACAACAGTAAGTAAGTAGGAAAATGTACATTGTTTAAGGCCGTACGGTGACATATAGTTGTTAATTTCTATGTCATTTGGTCTCTTGTGGAGAGTTGTCTCATTGGCAATCATACCACATCTTCTTTTTTATAATGACAGACTGAAAATGACTGATTTATTGTTCAGTCTTTAATAAGATGATCAATCATACCAACATGACCGTTTGATTTCAAAACTACCTTACTAGTGTACCTGTCTCCGTCAAAGGATGAAGGCCGTGTATTTCCTTTAAATTTGTGCACGTGCCATTAAAACGTATACATATATATCACATGTCATTTGATATCGTCAGGGGCCTCGGTGGCCGAGTGTTCTAAGTAGTCGAACTACTCTATCACTAGCCTGTCAACACTGAGGTTGTGGGTTCGAATCCCGAACGGGGCAGGTGCACTCGTTTCCAATCTTAGTTGATTGTTAACTTTCCTACCCGAGGTGGGTGGTTCTCTCCGGGCATTCCGGCTTCCTCCACAAATAAAAACTGACCACCACGAAATAGCACAATAGTGTTGGAAGTGGCTTTAACACCAATCAATCAATCAATCAATCACTTGATATCGTCCAAAGCAGCAAAATTTGTTTTTATTACAGATCGAGTGAAATGCAAAAGATGGATCCATTACTAAAGCCTGAGCTAGAATTTTCTAAAGACAAAGGAGAATTTTGGTAAGAATGAAAGTGTTCTTATTACACACGTAAAGTATCATAGGAGATGATCGATTTATGACTATTGAACACCGTCATACTACTGTTGCCTTTATTTTCAAATGTAGATATGCACACATTCAACATGAATATAAATAAAGCAGTTATGTATTGATATCACGTGTATAATTTCGAATAATATGGAGTAGAACAATTTTTAATTGATGGACTAAAACTTAATAATTGTGTAAAAGATCTTGTAAAACTGTGATGCAATACTGCGAGTGGGACCAAGGTTGCTCCATCAAATTAGTAGGTGGATACCTAGAATAAAAAAAAAATATGAAAAAAAACCTACATAGTTTTGGACCACGATTCCATAAATATTTTGATAAAAAAGTAAGTGATATGATGTATTTTATTTTTTTTTAAAGAGAGGAGACAGTTCCAGCAACTCCAGCATTTTCGCAGTCTCGTTAATACAATTATTTCAAGTAATGAATTTAAGATTAAATCAAGGAAACTCCCTGTTTTAAGATATATTTATTCGATAAAAAATAAACCGACATATAATGTCGACCTGTGACCTATAATGGTTTGATTTTATAAATTTTGACTTGGATGGAGAGTTGTCTCATTGGCACTCCTACCACATCTTCTTATATCTATATACTATAAGCTAACAAATATTCAACAATATTTGATTTCGTCATGTGCCATCAAAAACCTACAAGGATCAACATATCATTCAGCCGGCAATACACTAGACCTATTTTTACAGTAGTTGAAAGTAGTACTAAATAATGCCAAGGTGCTAATAATTTGTATGAGATTAATTCATCAACCATCCTGTTATCAGAAACGTGTCTTAATTCGCTAAGGAGGGGGCTGAAAAACAAAATAGTGAATGCTTACAGAACATAAAAATCTAGTGTTTCAACTTGGAACTCACTAAATTTGTACGCAGGTATTTAAAAATACGCTAGTTGCATTGTGGTCACGTTTTTGTGGCAATGTTTGAAACTAAATTAGTCTCTTATTTGGTGATGAATCGATAGAAAGAAAAAAAACCAACTACTTAATGTTAAGTACTAAATGTTTTATACGATCAGCGTCATGGAAATTCGTTTTTATTTTTAGAATTTTTTAAAATCTTCATATTTATCATGAAACTTATTATTGGTGTGCCTCCTGAAACCCTGATAGTCGTATTTGTACGATACTATATAATCCTTCTTTACGCCGTTTTAGACTAGGTTATATCCTCTACTTCTAATCCAATAGCAGTTTCCTTTTAAAAAGTAAAATGACGAAAATACAGAACTCCAAGGAAAACTCAAAGCTGAAAGTCACTTATCCAGCGGCAAAGTTGAAATCCGAAACACATTAAACGAATACAGGCATTTCTTTATGTAGAAAATGGTAGATTACACCTGGTTTTATAGCTAACTAAACTTTCACTACATTTCTATGTTGCAACATTCCAGCAGCGCCTGCATACGGAGTATATATCTCCCAATTGATACGATATTCTCGGGCTAGTATTTCCTATCATGATTTCCTTGATAGAGGTATGCTGCTCACAAGGAAGCTATTAAACCAAGAGTTCCAAATGGTGAAGTTGAAATCATTCCTTCGTAAATTTTACGGACGCCATCACGAGTTGGTTGACCGTTATGGAATAACCGTTTCACAGATGATATCTGATATGCTCCTTATGTCGTAACTATAATACCCTTCCTTTTTCACAAATATGACCTACCGATTTGACTATTTACCGGATTTGTAATAACATAAGCAACACGACGGGTGCCACATGTGGAGCAGGATCTGCTTACCCTTCCGGAGCACCTGAGATCATCCCCAATTTTTGGTGGGGTGCGTGTTGCTTAGTCTTTAGTTTTCTATGTTGTGTCATCTGTACTATTATTTGTCTTTTTGTTTTTGGCCATGGCGTTGTCAGTTTGTTTTCGATCTATGAGTTTGACTGTCCCTCTGGTATATTTCGTCCTTCTTTTGAACATTTGTATAGCAGTCGGATATTACCAAAAATGGACTAAACAGTAAAAAAAGACAACTAAAAGGAACACTGTAACACGTTATTAAGATGATAAACACCGTCGGTATTTAGAATCTATGCTTCAAGACCATCATGTATTATTCGTAAAGTTGATGCAGAATATTTATCAGCAAAGCCTTGTTATCTTCCGATGAAATTGTTTTAAGAACAAGGACGTCACGTTCTTTGACATAACCCTGCTTTATCAACTATCTGCTTAAAAACTGGTGGTGTTTTATAAAGTAGCATCGGTAAGCTCTTGAATACCGAATACGTTGGCAGATATATATCCCATAAGAAGGTGAAGTTGGTATATTGCTTCTAAGGTGAGGAAATTTTTAAGTTCAAAATTAAAATGGTCTCGTTTTTCAAAGATTTTGCTACTGAGATGACCGCTGATGTCAAATTCCAGGTATAAGTAAAAATGATGAGGCGGAGGAAGCCGTGTCTGTTGTTTCAATCTTTAATTTCTAGTTCTGTGAACATCAAAATAGAAAAGGACAAAACATTCGTGAATAAATAATGTATTAAGAAGAACACAATATACTGCAGAATGTTTTCAACATACGATCTAATACACGCAAAAAATGTTGTTCAATTTCAGTTTTGTGAATTGAGAAAAAGAAAGACACGACCTTAAAATTTGAAGAAATATTTACTGCAGCGAAATTGCAACTACCAAATTGTAAAGAAATGCAGAAAGCCTTATTTTGAATCTGTGGTTATATTACTGACGAATTCGAATTAAAGTTTGAATACGGATAATATTACTTGCGCGTCCTAAGATTCTAATTATGTCACAAAATACAACAGTTTTCATGAATACCTTATAGGAAAAACTGGATTGCATGTGAGGAAAGAAATGACAACAAATCCGTGACCAGTGACAACATTGAATTATATGCTGAAGTGCAAATTCCGGTAACATGATTTTTCGGATAAAACTGTGGAACAACAGCGAATTATAAATGAAAACAATATCAAATTGAAAAGTGCACACCAACATTGAACTCCTACATGTTTCTATATTCTAAAAAGTTTGAATATTTTAATATAAAAAAATCAGTAGTTTTAACATTGTTTTTTTAATTAAGTATTAAAAGTACACATGTTTTCCTTTTAAGCGCGATTTAATCGATTCATTATTACGTTGTGTTGCCGTTAATGTTTTCGTCTGTTAATTAAATGAACAATATATATCCGAACGAGTTGAAAGATCATATATATGTACTTATATTTTGAGTGTTACTTTGTGATGTATATTTTTTTGTTTATTTAGATACATATTCGTGCATTCTTATATAATTTACCCTTTCTGAACAGGATGGCGTTTGAAGATTTTGTAAACTATTTCACAAATGTTGACATATGCCATTTACTGCAACCATCGAACGAAAATATACTGCATTCCGAGTGGACTTTAACTGGTCGTTCTGGCGGCTGTGACTTTGAATCACCGCTATTTCTTAGCAACCCGCAGGTACGTGTAATATGGATTCATTGTTACTGGTTCACTTTGAACACAAGGTCCGTTTGAGCTATTGCTATACGCATTTTTACATCGCTAAGAGATGATTTTTATAAATGTTTAATGATTGGATCACATTCGTTGATTTCATTTTCTTGTCTAATTTCGATCCACGTTAATCTATTGTATGTTTATTACTACAGACACTCAATAAACCACATTTCATTTGATATATCTCAGTGAATTTTAAATAAGGAATACTACCGAAACTAGAACTCTTGCCTATTATCTTGAATTTTTCCTTGACATGGGCATCAAACATAATTTATGATAGTTTCAACTTTCCAATTGTTTACTTCGAGAAAGAACCTTCGTAAGGTTTAAGATCAACATCACGAATCAGCTGACCGATATGATTGTCTCATCTGAACTTACTTGCGACATAATGTCGTTGTCGTAGATCTTCAGATACCAACATGGTATTATGATCAGTTAATTTACAGATTGCTTCATATTGCCTTTTGGTGAATTTTTTACTTGGCATGGTTTCACTTGATGGGTGATGCATGCAACACAGATAGTGGATACCCTGTAGACGTAACTGGTCTCCCTCCTCGTAGAATTCATATGTTTTTACCGATTCTGTTTTTGTTTTTGACCTTGATCTGTATTTTCCTGACGATTTAATGAACAGAGGTAACCTGTTGCTTCTACATTTCTTGGATAGATACATGTTACCATATAAACATATACAATATGCTTTTGGAGATATGATTGATAAGGATTCATGGAACATTTGCTTTTTTTAAATTTACTATCTCTTACTTTGCTAATAAAACTAATATATCATGTATATCAAATCTTAAATATCTCCAACAAAATCTCCATGCATATGCCTTTTGTCCTTTGGTTATTGTTGCATTTGTTTTTACTGTCATCGCCTTCTTTTTATGTTATGTTTGTTATCTATATTATCAAGAAATATTATTGTAGTTTCTTCTTGACATTAAAGAAGAGGAAGACACACTACGAGTTTCCTTAGAACAGCATGACATTCGACTAAAAAAATCGCACACGGGAAGAACGTTAAATACAATTGGATACGCAATTATGAAGGTACAGAAAATTGTTTGTTTATTCTCTTTTTCAACGTTTGGTCTTCTTTGACCAAACTATCTTCATATAGCATAGTATTCCAATTGATGACATTTCGCAGAGTTTAAGTCTATACGATAATTTACAAGGTTGGAGTACTCAAAATTTTGTTTAAGCCCGTTTCATTTAAATGTACCGCAGGTCAAAAATGCCCGTCATCGTCTTTGTCACTTCCTTATGCTTTGTCATTAAATATGCTTTGTGTTCTCAGTGTGTTTGAAATAGGAATAAAATCCGTGCATATTGATCTTAAGATGTCTTTTCATATTTTCAAACACCATCTCGTATGGAGTATAGTTATTTAATCATTTATTTTTAATGTAATATACCTTGAAGATTACTGTATGATTAATACTATAAGTCTAAATTGAAAACAACGTTCACACCTATGGTTGCGTTGGATAAAAAGCGCAATTTTTATACGTGTGCATGCAAAATAGATTTCTTGGTAGAAGGGTCTAAATACAGCACAAACAACATTTTCAAAAGACCAAAAAGTTAAAAATTATATTTTAACAAAACGCATTTGACTAGCAGGTCGAACAACGGATGGTTTTATACAATGCTGACTGCCATGGCGATCGCCATATAAACGGATCACCAGATGTAACAAAATGGATCTTGATTATTAATTTAATACCAAACAGAAAATAATAATCTTGCGGAAAAGAAATGGGCCTTTTATTTGGATTCAATAAATATTGTTATTCTTATTCTTTTTCTTGTTGAGTTATATTATTAATATTTTGTCTTTTAAACGTAGATTCAAAATCTATCTTTATCCTATCTGATAACTAAGGTAACGTGGTCTATGTTAAGACATGACACAAACAAAAATAGCGTTAACCTTCTATCGAATGAAGTAATATGAAAAGAAATAATAAAACGATACGGTTAGCATAGCTTTTCGTATTAAGCAAAGCAATGTATTAATATATGATTAAGACTACCACTGAGTAGTTAGTAGTAAGATAGAGAAAAAAGTGTTTCAAAAGCACGCGGTATATTAATCCGAATAATTCAGCCCCTTTCCGTAATCGACCTCTCCAACTTACGAGGGCCTGAATTCCATACAAGATAAAAACTTTTCACCATTTGGATTTTGATTGGTGCCCTGTAGAAGAGGTGACAAATCAGCAATCAGCTCAATTTTATCGACATAGGTAAAGCCCGCGCTAACTCCGATGATTGATTGAAGATTTTCCATTGTCTATGCATTCAGGCGTTAATGAAGTAATCGTAGATCAGTGGAATATAACGACTGACTAATTCTGACAAAATTTTAAAAATAAAACAATGAACAGATTCTGAATTTCCACAAAAAAGTGACAGCGTATAATTTCCACAAAAAAGTGACAGCGTATAATTTTCAAACAAGAAAATTACACTATTCATTTATTAATAATAAAAATCCTCAAGGATGATGAGGACGTAATATTCTTGTAGAGAGTGCCACGATTTCTGCACGTTACGAATCCTTTCAACAACTCTTTGAGGGGTCCGTATGTGGTCTGTTGCAAGGTAAAGTTACTGTCCCATTGCAACAACTCCAATTTTCTAGTAGATATCCAAATGTTCCGCACCTTCATCCTAGACGGCCTCTAGTAAAGGACCTACCGTGGCTATTGTAATTATTGTTCATGATAACGAGCATGACAGATTTACCACTTGACGTTGTAATAATAAATCATTCAATTATTGATAAAAAAGAAACACATTTTGATTCCTAAATAGTGTTTATCACACCAAAAACGTTCATTACGATTATATCTTCAGAAAGTGTAAATTATAATTTAATAAAAAGAAAAGAAAAAATTCAACTAACAACAATCAAATTATAGTCTGAGAGAATAATATAAATGCAGGATTCATTAAAAACTGTATTGATTATAAATGACATTTTAGAAAACCCACAGCGCTGTTTATTTTCTCAAAACAGGTCGAAGAGAACAGAATATATAGATTGCATATACCGGTCAAAGTGTGTGAAACATCCGAGATGGTGAAATCTAGGAGCGTATTCGGAACATGTACGTTGCCCAAGGGCAGATATGTAATAATACCATGCACAAAAGATCCAAAGGAACATGGTCATTTTTTGTTGCGACTATATAACAACAGTAAAGGAAGTGTAAGGTACATATCATACACCAATAAATATTTACTTATACGTTATTCATTTTAGCGAGAACTGCATGTAATGAACGTATCTGAAATTTTGAATGGAAAACAAATTTAAATTTTAGCTAATAACAATGTACCAGTTAATCAAGTCGCTATACAAGGAAAAAGAGGCAAAAGATACAAAAGAAACAATCAAAATCAGAAGTTAAAAAAATCACATTGCCAAAACAAAAAACGATGAAATGACAAACATTAGTCTACAAGAAATTACTTAATAGATAACTAAGTAGCACGAATCATCTAAAAATCGTATGATGATCTCAGGTATTGGGGAAGGGTAAGTAGATACTTCTCTACTAGTTGCACCTGTTGTATTGTTCATGTAAACAGTAGGTCACTAGTTGATAGCGTTCAGTGGAAACGAGAACGGTTTTGTTCATGTTCATCCGAGACAGAGATAAGTAACTATTATGAGTATTGCAGAATTTGTCAAGACATATTGCTTTGACTGAATTTAAATCTGTTTTGTTGCTTTTTTACAGTTTTGTATTTAATGTTTTTGATTTAAAAAAAACCTTTGAACAGGCTGTATATGTACTAAACAAATTTTGCAACAAATTGTTCAAATAGATACAATATTTGATGAAGGTGCTAGGGGCATACATTAAGAATAAATAAAAAAAATCGCGAAAATAAGAAAGCAACAGAACAAAAACACTCAAGCATGTTTTAAAAACATATGCAAGTATTCTTTGCACTGCATTCTTCATTCAATATAAAAAATGCCTCTCCGTAGGGTGCCGATGAACTAATGTCTACAATTGATAACTAATTTCGATTGATGTTTTTACTCTTGATGGTCATGGGAGCTTATAATGTTAAAAAAGATCCTTTTCTGACAGAAAACGACAATACATCAAAAACAATAGAGCTGCTTTATTTAGGTTGATTCTTTTTTTATGCATATATTTTAAATTTTGACTGTATTTTAAAGGGAACTCACACAAGACGGACCTACAACAACATGTCCGTGTTTTAGCATGCCTGTGATGGTAACAACACTTACTGTGTTGAAGATAGAAAAAATAACAAAACCAATAGAATCAAAGGACAAAGGTACGAAAAACAAGCAATTAATGGTTGCTTTTAACATATCGATTAGGTAACTATTTTTTTGTAACATTAGAGTGACAATACTCTTGGAAACTTGACATAAATTACCATGTATTTACTAAAGAGGAAATACTGAAGAGTCCATGTGTGTCATATGTCTGTTTTATTTTCCTTTCGAATTTCAGCTAAAGATGAATAATTGGATCTTCCGACATTCTACGGGATACAAAAATCACAGGAGTTTTCGTTCTAGAGGAACATGACACTTTATAATTAAACAAAGTATCCGTCGTAATAAGCTCTAAGGGTGTGGCATATGGAGTAATTATCTGCTAGTTGATGCTATATTTTAGAGCTTGTGTTTCATTTCATGATTTCCTTTATAAAAGGTTAAAGGACTAATCGACGATCACGAATAGAGTAATGTTTTAGAGATAGACATGCAAATGTAGATTACAGAAACAGTTATTATAAGATATCAGCCACTTTTTTCTATTCTATTTTTTTTCATGATTGCTTTAAGATGGATCATCGGTATATATTTCATCAGATAAAATTTTCCTATACTTTGCCAAAGTGAAGATATTACTATCCTTTTTTCAAAAATATAATAAAAAGTATGAATCACCGTGCTATTTTTTAAGTTACAAGACGTGCAAAATTGCATAAATTTGCAGAGATTGTTCATGAGAAAAACACATTTTTGTAAATAAAAAGAAATCTATGAGATAGAATTTTGAAATAAAATATGAGAAGATATATAAGTTTTAGAATATGATATAAGAAAATAGAAAGACAAAATGGTGTCAGCGAACTTGTTTTCTTGCTACAAGTAAAATTTCACTATCATTCCAGTAGACGTAACTGGTCTCCCTCCTCGTAGAATTCATATGTTTTTACCGATTCTGTTTTTGTTTTTGACCTTGATCTGTATTTTCCTGACGATTTAATGAACAGAGGTAACCTGTTGCTTCTACATTTCTTGGATAGATACATGTTACCATATAAACATATACAATATGCTTTTGGAGATATGATTGATAAGGATTCATGGAACATTTGCTTTTTTTAAATTTACTATCTCTTACTTTGCTAATAAAACTAATATATCATGTATATCAAATCTTAAATATCTCCAACAAAATCTCCATGCATATGCCTTTTGTCCTTTGGTTATTGTTGCATTTGTTTTTACTGTCATCGCCTTCTTTTTATGTTATGTTTGTTATCTATATTATCAAGAAATATTATTGTAGTTTCTTTTTGACATTAAAGAAGAGGAAGACACACTACGAGTTTCCTTAGAACAGCATGACATTCGACTAAAAAAATCGCACACGGGAAGAACGTTAAATACAATTGGATACGCAATTATGAAGGTACAGAAAATTGTTTGTTTATTCTCTTTTTCAACGTTTGGTCTTCTTTGACCAAACTATCTTCATATAGCATAGTATTCCAATTGATGACATTTCGCAGAGTTTAAGTCTATACGATAATTTACAAGGTTGGAGTACTCAAAATTTTGTTTAAGCCCGTTTCATTTAAATGTACCGCAGGTCAAAAATGCCCGTCATCGTCTTTGTCACTTCCTTATGCTTTGTCATTAAATATGCTTTGTGTTCTCAGTGTGTTTGAAATAGGAATAAAATCCGTGCATATTGATCTTAAGATGTCTTTTCATATTTTCAAACACCATCTCGTATGGAGTATAGTTATTTAATCATTTATTTTTAATGTAATATACCTTGAAGATTACTGTATGATTAATACTATAAGTCTAAATTGAAAACAACGTTCACACCTATGGTTGCGTTGGATAAAAAGCGCAATTTTTATACGTGTGCATGCAAAATAGATTTCTTGGTAGAAGGGTCTAAATACAGCACAAACAACATTTTCAAAAGACCAAAAAGTTAAAAATTATATTTTAACAAAACGCATTTGACTAGCAGGTCGAACAACGGATGGTTTTATACAATGCTGACTGCCATGGCGATCGCCATATAAACGGATCACCAGATGTAACAAAATGGATCTTGATTATTAATTTAATACCAAACAGAAAATAATAATCTTGCGGAAAAGAAATGGGCCTTTTATTTGGATTCAATAAATATTGTTATTCTTATTCTTTTTCTTGTTGAGTTATATTATTAATATTTTGTCTTTTAAACGTAGATTCAAAATCTATCTTTATCCTATCTGATAACTAAGGTAACGTGGTCTATGTTAAGACATGACACAAACAAAAATAGCGTTAACCTTCTATCGAATGAAGTAATATGAAAAGAAATAATAAAACGATACGGTTAGCATAGCTTTTCGTATTAAGCAAAGCAATGTATTAATATATGATTAAGACTACCACTGAGTAGTTAGTAGTAAGATAGAGAAAAAAGTGTTTCAAAAGCACGCGGTATATTAATCCGAATAATTCAGCCCCTTTCCGTAATCGACCTCTCCAACTTACGAGGGCCTGAATTCCATACAAGATAAAAACTTTTCACCATTTGGATTTTGATTGGTGCCCTGTAGAAGAGGTGACAAATCAGCAATCAGCTCAATTTTATCGACATAGGTAAAGCCCGCGCTAACTCCGATGATTGATTGAAGATTTTCCATTGTCTATGCATTCAGGCGTTAATGAAGTAATCGTAGATCAGTGGAATATAACGACTGACTAATTCTGACAAAATTTTAAAAATAAAACAATGAACAGATTCTGAATTTCCACAAAAAAGTGACAGCGTATAATTTCCACAAAAAAGTGACAGCGTATAATTTTCAAACAAGAAAATTACACTATTCATTTATTAATAATAAAAATCCTCAAGGATGATGAGGACGTAATATTCTTGTAGAGAGTGCCACGATTTCTGCACGTTACGAATCCTTTCAACAACTCTTTGAGGGGTCCGTATGTGGTCTGTTGCAAGGTAAAGTTACTGTCCCATTGCAACAACTCCAATTTTCTAGTAGATATCCAAATGTTCCGCACCTTCATCCTAGACGGCCTCTAGTAAAGGACCTACCGTGGCTATTGTAATTATTGTTCATGATAACGAGCATGACAGATTTACCACTTGACGTTGTAATAATAAATCATTCAATTATTGATAAAAAAGAAACACATTTTGATTCCTAAATAGTGTTTATCACACCAAAAACGTTCATTACGATTATATCTTCAGAAAGTGTAAATTATAATTTAATAAAAAGAAAAGAAAAAATTCAACTAACAACAATCAAATTATAGTCTGAGAGAATAATATAAATGCAGGATTCATTAAAAACTGTATTGATTATAAATGACATTTTAGAAAACCCACAGCGCTGTTTATTTTCTCAAAACAGGTCGAAGAGAACAGAATATATAGATTGCATATACCGGTCAAAGTGTGTGAAACATCCGAGATGGTGAAATCTAGGAGCGTATTCGGAACATGTACGTTGCCCAAGGGCAGATATGTAATAATACCATGCACAAAAGATCCAAAGGAACATGGTCATTTTTTGTTGCGACTATATAACAACAGTAAAGGAAGTGTAAGGTACATATCATACACCAATAAATATTTACTTATACGTTATTCATTTTAGCGAGAACTGCATGTAATGAACGTATCTGAAATTTTGAATGGAAAACAAATTTAAATTTTAGCTAATAACAATGTACCAGTTAATCAAGTCGCTATACAAGGAAAAAGAGGCAAAAGATACAAAAGAAACAATCAAAATCAGAAGTTAAAAAAATCACATTGCCAAAACAAAAAACGATGAAATGACAAACATTAGTCTACAAGAAATTACTTAATAGATAACTAAGTAGCACGAATCATCTAAAAATCGTATGATGATCTCAGGTATTGGGGAAGGGTAAGTAGATACTTCTCTACTAGTTGCACCTGTTGTATTGTTCATGTAAACAGTAGGTCACTAGTTGATAGCGTTCAGTGGAAACGAGAACGGTTTTGTTCATGTTCATCCGAGACAGAGATAAGTAACTATTATGAGTATTGCAGAATTTGTCAAGACATATTGCTTTGACTGAATTTAAATCTGTTTTGTTGCTTTTTTACAGTTTTGTATTTAATGTTTTTGATTTAAAAAAAAACCTTTGAACAGGCTGTATATGTACTAAACAAATTTTGCAACAAATTGTTCAAATAGATACAATATTTGATGAAGGTGCTAGGGGCATACATTAAGAATAAATAAAAAAAATCGCGAAAATAAGAAAGCAACAGAACAAAAACACTCAAGCATGTTTTAAAAACATATGCAAGTATTCTTTGCACTGCATTCTTCATTCAATATAAAAAATGCCTCTCCGTAGGGTGCCGATGAACTAATGTCTACAATTGATAACTAATTTCGATTGATGTTTTTACTCTTGATGGTCATGGGAGCTTATAATGTTAAAAAAGATCCTTTTCTGACAGAAAACGACAATACATCAAAAACAATAGAGCTGCTTTATTTAGGTTGATTCTTTTTTTATGCATATATTTTAAATTTTGACTGTATTTTAAAGGGAACTCACACAAGACGGACCTACAACAACATGTCCGTGTTTTAGCATGCCTGTGATGGTAACAACACTTACTGTGTTGAAGATAGAAAAAATAACAAAACCAATAGAATCAAAGGACAAAGGTACGAAAAACAAGCAATTAATGGTTGCTTTTAACATATCGATTAGGTAACTATTTTTTTGTAACATTAGAGTGACAATACTCTTGGAAACTTGACATAAATTACCATGTATTTACTAAAGAGGAAATACTGAAGAGTCCATGTGTGTCATATGTCTGTTTTATTTTCCTTTCGAATTTCAGCTAAAGATGAATAATTGGATCTTCCGACATTCTACGGGATACAAAAATCACAGGAGTTTTCGTTCTAGAGGAACATGACACTTTATAATTAAACAAAGTATCCGTCGTAATAAGCTCTAAGGGTGTGGCATATGGAGTAATTATCTGCTAGTTGATGCTATATTTTAGAGCTTGTGTTTCATTTCATGATTTCCTTTATAAAAGGTTAAAGGACTAATCGACGATCACGAATAGAGTAATGTTTTAGAGATAGACATGCAAATGTAGATTACAGAAACAGTTATTATAAGATATCAGCCACTTTTTTCTATTCTATTTTTTTTCATGATTGCTTTAAGATGGATCATCGGTATATATTTCATCAGATAAAATTTTCCTATACTTTGCCAAAGTGAAGATATTACTATCCTTTTTTCAAAAATATAATAAAAAGTATGAATCACCGTGCTATTTTTTAAGTTACAAGACGTGCAAAATTGCATAAATTTGCAGAGATTGTTCATGAGAAAAACACATTTTTGTAAATAAAAAGAAATCTATGAGATAGAATTTTGAAATAAAATATGAGAAGATATATAAGTTTTAGAATATGATATAAGAAAATAGAAAGACAAAATGGTGTCAGCGAACTTGTTTTCTTGCTACAAGTAAAATTTCACTATCATTCCAGTATACAACTTTTATTGTAAGAGTTATCTTCCCTTAAATGGCCAAATTGAAAAAAAATTATTCTGAATACACAAATATTTGGTATTTGTTTAAACATTTCGGATAATGCAATAAATCACTTGTTTTTTCTGTATAACAATAAACAGTCTAACGTTTTATACATTGTGACTTGGATGGAGAGTTGTCTCATTGGCACTCATACACATCTTCTTATTTATATTACACATACATTGCAAATCTGTTTCAAAATTTGCAGATCTAGGCAAAAAAAAACCGATTATGTACTGCTATTGTACAATCCAAGATGGCGTTATACAGTGAATCCGCGTTAACTGCTCCCCTAAACACAAGGAATCCACATTGATCGACAATAAAATAGTTTTGAAAGGATGTCTAAATTGTAAAGATTGTTAAAGTTATATAACAACATAAACTGAAAACCAACAATTTGTTCACCATTGTGAGCATGCTATTTAGCATAAAAAGGTTTTGATCAGAAATTTGCAAAATGGATTTTCCGTTTCACAAAAAAAAAAAAAAAAAAAAAAAATACAAGAAATACAAGAGATGCCGAAATCCTGATTTCTTACATTCAGAGTCTTTTCATCTATGATGAGTTTATTTCTAAATATATTTACGAAACACAATAAGTCTATATAGGTATTATTTTGTCAACTGTATTCACTTAGAGGAAATTGCTGGGACTTATAATCTTTATGTTAAACTCATTACAGACTTTAATCCCAAAATTGTGGTACAATGCGAAGGTGAGAAGGTTGTATCATTAATTCCATTTGAGCAGAATGTGAAAAATGAATGTGAAGCTGTGTTGGACTTAAAAGTTACATTCTATCGAAAGAATCCCAATGTTCCAATAATTATAGAGGTACAGTATGTTTTATTTGCTGTGTTAGATTTCAAAGTATATTGTCTCAAGGGTATTCGATGAAAGTTATTCAATAAAATTCTTGTCGTTCACACTAAATATGTGACTTCTTTTAACGTTCTTTGGAACAGTAAATCAAGATTTTTTTTTATATAAGTGTTTTAACAAAACAACCAACTAGCAAATCTAAAAGGTATCGATTCAGATTGAAATGCCAATGCTACACAGACAAGAAAAAACAAGTTTTAGAATGTATGCTACGATACAATTTAAGAAGTCTTCCAAAAAGACGAAATTATATCATACAGAAAAACGAATATTTCGAAACAAGTGAAGATTTATTTTTATCATTTTCATGTTAAAGTAGCTTCGTACACGAAGCAATAATTCTGTATATTGCTAATGCTTACAAGACTCATATGAAATTTGTCGTTGTGTAAAATAAATTGAGAAAAATTGACCCTACCTCCTCAAAGACGTTAAACTTTTATTTCAAAGATTTTTACAATCTTTATTTGAACATATTGATATGCTATTGTCCTAATTTACTACGACCTATTTTTGTACTTAAATTGTTCAGAAAAGTTGAAACTGTTCAAAACTCAACAGCTGTATTTTTCAAAGTTCCTATCCTAACTACATGTTTACATAACTAAATATATTTGTTTCACAACTTTAAGACATGTTGTGTAGCAGATTTGCTTAACTTTTAAATCATATTGTGCGACTGGAAAATTGCTTACTTCATGACAATAATAAGCGGAAGAGTAAGTATACTGAAATCATTAAATTGTGAAAAGCAAATACTAATTTACAATTAAGGTCGAATAAATGTGGTGATATTAAGCACGAAAAGCTGATTGCGTGTCCTTGGTTAAAAAGTACCATTCATGGGTTTAGGAATTTATCTTACATCCTATACACTTTTCGGAATTTCATTGGTTTAAAGCGAACACTTGGGAACCATGTTTATTTAAAATTAGGTCTATGTGCTTGTTTTGTTTTGTATGCATGATCAGTCGATGTTGTGTATTTAAAAACAATCCAACCTGTGTTGTTCACAAATTAGCATACATTGTTAACATACATAATTTCAATTTGATTCATTTTTTAAGATAAAACATATAGTAGAGACGTTGACTTTCTCACTATAAATAACTAAACGCACTGCTTAATGTTGTGTTTAACATTGTGATATCAAGGTTTAAATGCATCCTAGTTCACCATATTAAGACAGTCGGTAAGATAAATTCGATACACAGTGTGCTAGTGATGACCTAATGCGGCATTTACGTGGTTAGTGATACTGACCCCGTACGTATCATATTAGGTCACTAGCACACTGTGTAACTAATAACATTAGACAGAACTAACATAAATATCACCCCTGCAATAAAGCACGAAAAAAAAAATCGAATCAGCGCTGTGGTCTTAAAAAAACATATTTCTTCACAAACATCAGCAGATGATCGTGATGAATACTCATTTATAAGTACTTCTTTGCTAAATACTAGAAAGCGTCAAGGACGTATAAAATATTTAAAATGTTGTTTTCATCTTTTTATTTCAAACATCAATCAATCAATCAATCTTTCAGATATTCAATAACAATACAATAATTGACGATTTTTGTTGCCAAGCAAGAGTAACAGATACTGGCGAAGAGGAAGGAAAAGAAAAGTGCTACAATGTGTTTGGAAGAGGGAAAGAGAAGTATGCAGAAAGATCGGGACTCATTCATGTTTTTATTCGATCAAGTCACGATTTAAAGTTGTTGTAACTTCTCGTATTTGTTTCTCAGTTTCAATTGTATGTATTACAAAACATCTTTGAACCGTACATTCACTGCTGAGATGCTGGTTCTTTTTAATCTATACATGTATAAATATATATATATTAGAATGCCTTTTGAATACATTATTATTACTAAGATTTCAATATTTTGATATATATGTTATTGTTTCCGGTCATTTACATATTTTTCTTAAAGTTTGTGTTATCCTCTTGAAAGTCTCCAAGTAGCGTTTCGGCCTTGAGTGTAGTCAGTCGTAGGTTCGAACTCCACTCCGACCAGGTAAAATCAAAGACTTGGAAATTGAAATTTTCTACCTTTCTGATAAGCACGCGACATCTAGAAATAAGAATGAAGACAAGTATTGGTGCGCTCAGAGTCAGGATAATTTATTAAGGTTGGTTGACGTGTCTTCTTGAGCTCTGTTACCTTGTGAACTGGAATAGTAAAATCCGACTAGACTCGTCAGTCTAGCAAAATGTATGGTTCAAATTCATATCCTTTTTGTTTTATTTTTTAATGCATTTCATTATGAAAAAAATATAGGTATATCACTCAATTTAAAATACCATTTTAAGTTAGTAACACATGTATCTGATTTGACATGATTAGTTACTTTCGTGGTGAGATTGAAGAATAACATTCGTTTGCCATGAACTGGACACCAATTCCAGTCATGACGCCAATAAATCAATTACAAACAGAGAATTCTTTCACATCCGAATGCAACAATGCACTCGAACTCGTTATCAGATATGGAACTCTAAGAATTTTTTGGTTTTTGAAGGATACAAAAGATAAATATATCAATCCGCTTTTGTATGATGCCGAATGACTGAAATTAAATCAACGTACTGGAACTGATATTTCTACTTGACTGAAACCTGCTGGCCTCTCGATATAAAATATTAGTTTTGAAGGAAACGGAATAACTAAAAAAAAATACAAACAAATCACTGCGATAAATAATATTAATCAGATTTGTTTATAAGAGAATCGGAAGGAATGTACTGCGGATTCTTCATTATTCGTTGGATACCAATTTTCGTGGATTTCGTGGGTTCAGGTGAACCACGAATTTAAAAGTTCAACGAATTACAATTTTCCAAAAAGGTTGTATGCAGACTTTGGCAAAACCACGAAATTAAATATCCTCGAAAATTATCATCAATCCACGTAAATTGGTACACACGAAAATAAATGAATCACCGTAATTGACGCAAGAACTCTTACAAATAGTTTTGTTTTACAAATTCTTTAATTTAATATTGTCTATTCTTCTATCGGTGAAAATAAACTTTGCGACTGATCGTAAAGTTGGTACTTTAAATCACAATGTTCTCACAATGTATTGGCTTCCTATATTATACGAGAAACATAACATCGTGCGATTAACATATCTGCACTCGGATATAATAGACAATGGATTTAGAAGAGAAACAAAAATCCTGTTGAGTTGATTGAGCTTTTATTAGCATTGCGTATTAAGCATTCACTACATACCTTTCGACACAGCCATGTTCGCTCTATTTTATCAAGTGTTGTCTATTGGTTGATATTTTCAAATTATAGGTTTCATAACAGTGAGATTTGGAGATCGCTTGATCTGAACTCGAGTTATTTAATTTTAATATAATAATAAACGAGCCTCCGGCGACTTTATTATTACTGTTTAAGGTTTATGACCCCTTCTGTCGCCATGTTTATTACGAAATTTCACAGTGCAATAATATCAAAACAGCAAAGATAATGAATATTAGAGATATGCCATTGTGTACATATACCAAGAGGAAACTCCAATTAAAGCTATACTATTTATTGTTTTAGTGCATTAAATAGAAAATGGGGATAATATGGCCCATAAAGCCAAGATTTTTGTAGAAAGTCCACAGACTTTAATACAGAGAGTTTCGTTATAAAATTTTAAACATGGATTACTCACTTGTTTGTCCATGATGTGCTAGCGTTTGTTATTTACAAAAAGTCATAAACAACCTTTTCATTCCAAAAAAACTCGTGTGGAGTCACTAAAGTCGAGTGCATCCTAGAAGGTGTACTCGAATGATCCATATTTTTATTAGTTCTGACCAATATTTTGATTTATAAACTTGTCCTTAGGAAAAAATTGCTAGCACTGCACGCAATGCTCATCTATCTATCAAGTAAAGAAAGATCAAATATTAGAGTAGAAGGAAAGGATTTGGATTTTCTATAAAATTTCCACATGTTTAGCATTGAAACAACAAAAGGGTACATAATCCTTAAACTAAATAACGATTGATTGGTGTTTAACACCACTTTCAACACTATTGTGCTATTTCGTGGCGGTCAGTTTTTATAGATATAGGAAGCCGGAGTGCCCGGAGAGAACCAACGACCTTCGGTAGGAAAACGGACAATCCTAGTCAATTAAGATTGGAGTCGAGTGCACCTGCCCCGTGTGGGATTCGAACTCACAACCTCAATGTTGACTGGCTAGTGATACAGTAGTTCGACTACTTAGATCACTCGGCCACCGAGGCCCCCAATTAAATAACGATTTTTGACATCAAGTGATATCCAATTCTCATGAGTTGTTAAATCTATTTGTCTTATGATCAACCCTCTGATTGTGTTCAATAAAAAAATCCGCGAATCATTGATCTAGTCTTTTGCAAACACCAGCATTACGTCACATGTCCTTTCCGGCGTCAAACATTAATATCAGACATTTGTAATATTTTTCTCACTTCAGAATATATTACAATTTGATAAAAAGAGGATTTCCAGGTGAAAATATGAGTGTTTTGTATATTATCGAAGAAATCACATATATCCGTTGTACCATCATATTAACCATTGAAAGTTAACAATGACATAACGAATAGCCAATGGAAATGTCGTTATATGGTCTCCTGATGCTGGATCAGCCAATCAAAATTAACGCAGTTTTCGTATCACTTTTCCCTATCACTCTCCGTGCAGTATCCTGAATTAAAAAATGCAGTTTTCTTTTCAACAAAATCCCAATAATCCTAAAAAATGGTACTAATATAGGTGGATATTTCTAAAATATTAATTTCCAATGTGAGTAGACATACTTGAGTGGCGAACCCAAAGTCCGAGGAAAGAATTACGTAATAGTCAAAATAATGCCGAGAGAGCGGGTCGAAATTTCTATTTTTTCACGATTTTAAGCTACAATCATCATTTTTTTTTCGATCTAAAGCGATACGTACGCTCCCGATGCCTCTGAATCTGTAATAAACCTTGGGTGGGTGTACATAAGATATGATTTAAACAAAACCTTTTTAAAAAACTTGAGCTTCAAAATGCTAATATGGGGAAAAACATTGGATGACTCCTTATAGCAGTTATTGGCCCGAAACAACGATTGTAGATTTATTTTTGAGTTTTGGTTTATTACCAAGACAACTGTAATATATAGGCAAAAATTTTAACCAAGACAAATTATAAGCACTTGAAGATCTACAAAAATACTAACTTATATTTGTCTAGGTGAGCAATTTAGGCTGTTGTTTATATTTGCTGTTTTTACCTTTTTTAATGAATATTTCTTAATGTTATCAGTTCAACCACAAGTAATAAACAAGGTGAGAGCATTTGGCATATTGACATTCAAAAATTTACGCAAACGAATATAAATAGATGTTCCTACAGGAGCAAACACAGTTGTTCCGTGGGATCTGTGTACACTATGCAATGTTTCGTTTCGTGAAATGTCGCCTTGCTATAGACAAGTTCGCTGAAAAGGGCGTTAAACATGCATAAACACACCGATAGTCTGCCAACAGTGTAAATAAATTGAAGGTCAATTTGATGTGTAATACGATACAACATAGGAATTACATATACGAGATAATGAAATATTTATGGCAGTTTTAAACGGAGTGTAGAAATGTTAATTGATTTAAACAAAATGATTTGACTTTATAAGTTATATCACATTATCAATGAGGATCATAGGCTTTGCTTGACTGGAATTTAAATAAATATTAACTGCACACGTTAGCGTTTTATTTCAAACTGGAATTAAAACTTTGATTATATATTATCTTTATAATTATGTTCATGTGAGTGATTTGTAGTTATATAAACTCATCAAAGATACCAGGCTTATACTTTAATACGACAGAAGCGCGTTTCTCTAAAAAGTCTAGTCGTGATGGATTTTTGCGATGATTTTTACTTGGATATCGTGTGTACAATAATACAATATGCTTTTGACAAAAAGTGCTGTTGCAAAAATAGAGTACAACCTTTTAAAGAAACAAAGAAAAACATTCTTAAGTTTAGAGTAACAATTGGATTTATTTTCAATTGCGCTTCTTTCATTCTTATATGTGGTTTAAACAATGAAACATATATCAGAGGAACGAATGCATTAGGATTATTTGTGACCATAGTATTATTCATTTTGCTTTCATATATAGTAGTCGTAATAACAATTTATTGTGTTTTACCAGATATAACTGAGACTGGTATTGAACATTTCATGATACTGTACAGAATATATGAAATAGAATTAGACTTGCTTGTATTTTTCTACAGTTTAGTTATTTCGAACTGGGAACTAACAATATTTGCATCAATTACAACTGCAATTGCATCTGTTGATGTCGTCCTAAATCTATTGATTCTTATTTATACCATAGTAACAACAACTGATACACGCAAATGGGAAGTAATCATAATTTTTGTTGTTCTTCCGATATTTTTTCCATTAATTATGCCTATAATTATTCTGTATCGAAGTGTAGATTGGCCATATGAACGTTTAATTTTCTGTTTATAGAATCTTGAGACTAGCAACTCAACAAACACCAAAACACTGTTTCAGAGTTTTAAAAAACAGAGGTCAATGTTTAATAACAGTTACTGTACTAAACATTAATTCACTTTGATAACTTGTAATCAAATGCATTTTTTTTCAATGATAGAAAAACTTTAAAAATGCAATTTAAAATATTTTCTTAATTAGTGTTTGATTCTTCCCATTGGAATTTCAACTATGTGGGATACAGCTATCTTCTTTGTAGTGTGGACGACCTTAAATATTAAGTTAAACTAGTGGTATAGAAGGACCACTGCCTTAGTTGGATCAGCTGTTTTATGTAAGGAATGGATCATGTATGAAAAA